ACTACTACTACTACCACTACCAGCAGTACTCGTCACGGCCTACGTCATGGTCACGATTATCAGTATGGCCATGCCATCTTCACAATCATCCTCCTTGCCGGCGTGATCACTGCACTGTTCTGATTATTCGTCACTGTTACAATCATCATATTCTCATCTTTCTCTTTGTTTTACAGTCGTCACCGTGTCATCCGTAAGATTTTTGCAAGCAGAACATAGGATATAGGATACCAAGTCAATCTCTCAGATGGAGACACTGCTGCCAGGCAAAGACTTCGGGCGCCGCAGTTGTGACGGTGCCAACATCGGTGAAGTCTCTGATGCTGCGCATGATTGAGACCTGGTCAGCAAGTCAAAGGTCAGGTTAGGACGTCCGAAGGACCCCGCATAATTTGATGTGGACGCACAGGTAGGAATGAGATCATGGGATTGCACGAATGGCAGAAGAAGAAACCACTGCAGTCGGACACCGGCCGTTTGTCCAATCGCGCGCTTATTTCATCTGCTGTGCTGAGGAGCTCATGATGAAGCTCCAGACGAAGGGCAAGGACCGAATCCCAGACCTTCAAACGTGTAAAAGGGGCCGTGGTCTAGTGGGGCACCGAGGCGTCGTCGTCACTTAGGCTGTGCAGCTAGACACAGGTGATTTGAACCAAAGTGCTTCTGCCCTAAACCCTAAATGCCGCAGAGCACCGAAGCCCTAAACCCCTGGTCCCTGGAAGGCCTAAGCCCCCTGAAAAGTGCCTGAAAGCCCTACCTTAGATCTCGAAATCCTGCTTTTGGCAGTTTCCCACAACTCTGGAGCCCCAAAAAGGGCTCTTGATTTACGATTTAGGGGCCAACTAAATAGGTAGCAGGTATCGGCTCCTTCTTCTTCTTCTTAACACCCGAAGTGGACATAGGGCGCAGCATCCCTACCATGGAAGAAGGGACTTCTCAGGTTCCGAAGCTCTCTTCCTAGAGCCTCCATCTACCCTCTGTTGGACCCTGAATACCAGGGTTTAGGGTTTAGTAATGCCTTATTATGGGGGGGGTGGGGGTGGGGGTGCAGGGTTTAGTAAGACCTACTATGGGGGAGCGATCCGGAGGTACAAGGAGGGTTTCGGTTCTGTGTTGCTTGGACGCAGGAGGCCGACACCGCGGTTACAGAGACACGGTCTCAGGTGCGGCAGCTTTCGAAGGCGCTTGACGGCACTGCACGGTCTGAGCCAATTTCTGAGGTTTGAGGTTTCAGGATTTATGTACCTTGCTGGGCTGTCGCTGCGTTTAGATACATTTTGCAACCGCGGATCGGGTCCCTAATGGCCGAGGCTTCCTCCTTAGGCAGGCTTTTCTCGTTTCGCGCTGACCACGGGTGCTACCTGTTGCCAACACGGGCTAGCACCATGCGCAGAGAGACTTTCATATGAAGCCCGAATGAGAGCGCTTGCTAGGAGCAAGCTTGTCTTCATAGCCGTCACTCTAGCTTGATCTGATCCTAGTCCCAGCTCCTCCTCTCCTAGAGCGGACCTGGGCCCAAAATCCTAAACGCTCTTCTCACAGCTCTTATGAACCCCATGGCTCGGAAAGACCCCAATGAATCTGCATCATACGTGGAGTCTTGTCTCAGGCACTTGCACTTTTCCGCCAGGGCGCTGTGCTCATGGATGAGGCGATTATTTCGGAACTTGGGGTTTAGGTTGAACAAGATTACGCGCTAGACTCAGCTTAAATTATATCATCTGTGAATGGGCTCAATTCATGGTCTGCGAAGGCTCCTACTCACCTTTGGCGCTGTGCTCTGACTCGTGAACCTTTGGCATCGCAAGCCATCGACAGGGTACTCATGCAATGCAGAAAGCCTGCCAACCGACACGTCTTCCTCCTGCAATCCGCATGACCCACGACCCACGAAGGAGGGACTGAGAAGCGCAGGCGGATGATCTGGCAGTCTTTGCCTCATCGCACGCCCATCTCTGTGTGAACACACTTGGCAGGTGGATGTGGTGCTACACCCGCTGAAGTCCGAACTGAACTTCCCCTACGGCCCCAAGGACGCATGCATGTGTGACGGAAGTGACGACTTGTACGGTCCGCTTCTGTGCATATACCTTGTCAACACGAAGGCAGCATTAAGAATTGCCGAAAGGCTGAGACGTTTCATGCCGATTTAAGAAGCTTTCTGCAGACGGCTGTCTGCGCAGGAGCCACTGGACGGTTCCTCCCCTCGTGCTTTCCGCTGGGCCGGGTATCCCAGCTGGACTGTTCAGCTAGGTGGCCGCTGTTCTCTAACGGCTGCTGGTATTGCCACCTCTCGTCCTCCACGACCTGATATCAACGTTGCTAGCTGTGAGTGTCGCCGCGACTGCCGACTTGTATACTTGCTAGCGTTGCCATCAGCATGTACCGCTGCCACCATTCTTGGCTCTCCCGGCACCCTGGTATGCAGACCTGGGACCTTGCTAATGCAGTGGTTTGCGAACGGTTGAGCTGCAAGATTTCGGGGCTTGCTACCATCTTCGTGGTCAGGATCATCATCATCATCATCATCATCATCGTCATCATCGCCCGGATCGTCATGACGACCCGTACGGACCAGTCTCATCATCCTGATCGTCTTCCTCGTCACCACATCATGAATCATGACTAAGATCGTCATCACCATCCTTATGAACATCCTTCAGAATCCCCAGACCCGATTGCCTTGCCGGACTTCAGACCTTGCCGATGCACCTCTTCGAAGCTTTCTTCCTGGCGCAGGTGCCCTTTCCAATGCCTGCTTTTTCTGAGGATTGAGGGGCTCGAGGGTTTATGGTCCGACTGCAGGTTGACTAGGGGCAGAGGTTGCACGGCTTGAGGCTACGCCGACGTGGGTTGCTTGCCGTTTGCTTGGGCTTCAGACTCCGAAGATACCCTTCTGAAATAGCTCTTATCGTTGTCGCCCTTCTGTATTGTGACTCGTGCAGCTTATGCATGTGTGCGTTCACGTTCTTCTTCTGTACACACACCGCCTTGCAGCATCTGCCACTGCATGAGGCTATCATGAAAGCCGGAGGCAAGATCCCGGCAAATGCGGAGGCAGGGCTGCAGAGATCGGCGCGGCATGACGCCAGAGCAGTTCCGCTGCGAGGCAATTCACTTTTCAAGAGCTCATAAGCATTAACATGCCTTTTTCTAGAAAAAAACCTAGTTTTTTCCAGAAAAGCCTAGTAGAAGAATGAAAACAACCCATCAGAACTCCTAGCTGCTCGGAGCTTCTTTCATGAGGCACATCTCTCCGGGGCGCAGGGTACACGGTACAAGGACCGCTCTGGTATGGTGGTGGCTCTGAATGCAACTGCGACAGCAGAATTGTTGTCCTTCCTGCCTTGTTACCATCTTTAGAAATCTTTAGAATCATGGAAGTTGCGTTCGCAATGATGAATCAGAAGCCAAAAACTGAGACAGTATAACCATTATTCATCAGTCGGCATTCATGCGCTGTAGTTATGGGCAACAAATGGCAACAACATACAAACTACATGCTACTAATTTGATACCCGGAAAGAGACTATTCTACACTCCAAACTCGCGATCCTGATCGTAATCGTGACCGATTGCATGCAGGGTTGCAGAGACAGTCGCACAGCTTCTCCCATGGGGCCGCTTCCCTAATCTGAGGCGTATACTCTTTTAACGGTGTAGGGTTCTAAGGTTCCAGTAGCAGTAATACTGCTAAGCCCATTTCTTGTAAATTCTTCGTGTAGTCCGCATCGGCCCTGTCGGAGGGTGCACACGGCAAAAAGCAGGTCTCGTGGAGCAAGATCATACGCCCCATGCAGAGCCAAAGGTCAGTGACTGAACCATGTTAAGTGAAAGGGCCGCTAGGGTGTGTGGGCTGTGCTGAGGGGGGGCGGGGATTGCAAAGTGCGGGCAGAGGGGTCTTAGAGAGGACAGGCGAGGTTGTGGGCTTTGGCTGGGGCCGGGTTGAATTGCAGCAGTGGGATTTTACTGAAGTTGACGAACACGGGCAGGCGCGAGCCGAAAAACTTAGGTCGCGAGTAACACACTGCATTGTAAAGGCAGCTGGTCGTGTTGAGATGAGGTCGAATAGCTCCTTCGTTCAAGACAGGGTTTTAAGTCTTGTTCATTGTGGTTTCTCCTGGTTCTATGTGCATGCCCTCCAGGAGATTGCAATCGGCCTGAGCAAGCGAATCGCGCAAGGCTATGCAAGCAAGGCCGCCAGACTTGCATTTAGCAACTTCACAGCTTCAAGGGTGCTCTGTGCCTTTGTCAAGGAAGGGTTTTCTTGCTGCTGAACCGCCCATCACGAGCCAAGGTAGAGTCAAAAGCCTCAACGAAGACAGTAACACTGATCGTTCGATAGCGGCAGCAGACATGGCAGCAGTGACACACACACACACACGCGCGCACACACACACATCGTAGAAACAGCCCAAAAGTGTCGGCTTTGCTCGGGTGTAGCAAAAGCATCTAACATCGCACTACAGCTCTTACTCTATTAACTCTATTGGTTGCATGAAGGTCGGATTATTGGTGCAACAAGATCAGCAGCAACAAGGACTATGATGACGACTGCGATCATGCTACTGCTGCTGCTGCTGCTGCTGCTGCTGTTGCGGTAGATAGTATAATTAGTGTGACTCCTTTTCCCATGCCGAACATGCCAGCAAGTCAGGCTTTGCAAGCCTCTCCTCACCTGGTGTTGCTTGAAGAGCAGTTCTTCGTTCAGGCACCGGCTGGACACAATTGCATGGTCAAGTGGATGTGATTGTTCTATGAATTGCATCTCTTCTGTTCAATACCAGTCTTTAAAGACTGCTACAGTACCTGGAGATCTGTCTTCGTGCAGAAGCTCGCTTGAGCAGAACGGGCGCTGCGTGAAGGTTCTTGCATCAAGATCAGTTGGTGGGCTGTTCTATAGTAAGCCCGTTTTAGGCCAGGGGCCTGTATAGCCTTAGTATCCTAGACATAGCTATTGTAAGACCGTGGTACCCCGATCTATAGCAACCCTGAAGCGAGGCCTTGCAATTGGTATTGCTCATCTTGGAACAGCCTTACCTCTAAGCCCTAAACCCTGAACCCTGAAACCCTGAACCCCAAACCCTAAAACCCTAAGCCCCATAAACCCTAAACCCTTAAACCCTAAAGCCCTAAACTCTTGCAGCAGGAGATGAAGCCCTTGCTCACAGAGTGGCTGATGCTTTGGCTGCGGTCGCAGGCGACTTGCAAGAAAGAGCCAGACCCGGCACCCCATTGTTTGGGTAATGCAGGGGACTGAACAATTACCGATACTATTTTTTGGGTTCCTTACTATAGTGATAGTATAATATACCTCAAAGCCCTATCCTAATTATTAAGGCCCCGATGTTAGTGTTCTTATGTGCTCTTGTCTGCACGCACTGTTTACACGTGAACTTCAAGCTGTCGGAGATCCTCCTCCTTTGTAGCCATGTGCTGCAGACAAATCTGCAGCCCATCAGCATGCGAATTGGCTAGAGATAGTCGTTGCAATTTGCGGCGCATGTAAAGTCCTGGAAACATCCTGCTGTTGGCAGGGTGTCATGGATGCCGGAGAGGGAGGCACGGACCGATGAGCGGTGGAGTCGTATGCTTTGGGGGTTTAATGGTGGTCTCTGGATGTGGCGTGATGGTAGGTGCTGGCACTGTCAATCTTAATTCGCAGCCTTTGGCCGCCCTGCGTCAGTGAAACACATGGTTGAATGTGTATAAGTTGTTACGATCGCTCATTTGTGGTTGGTTATTTCGCCTACTATTACCGCTTCATTACGTTTCCAATGCGCAGCAGCGCCACTACGATAATTGTTAGAATTATTCTACTGTGCGCAAAGACACTTCCTTCAGCGAGGATCTGTTAAGATGCAGGAAGGGGATGTTTCGCCTAAAGCAATTGCTCGCCGTGGAAAGCCGGAATGCTGGACTTGCACCCGATAACCATAGAGCCTGGGTAGAGGGCTCTTCAATGGCTGCCAGAATCCAAGCAAGCCTGAAGCATGTCTGATTCGAGAGACTGACATGTACTGACACAGGCTCCGCAGCGAGACTGCGCACCGCGACTGTGAGCAGAGTCTCGGCTTTACCAGATGTGAATATCGTGAAACGGTTCCCGGGTATCAAGCTTTCTACTACCGGCATGCCCAGTTACTGCTCTCGCTGTTGCGGCTGGTTGTGTTTCTTAGATTCTTCTTCTGCTGCTGCTGCTGCTGCTGCTGCTGATGCTGCTGCTGCTGCTGCTGCACTGCTACTGCGACAACGACGTCGTTTGCGGAGGAGGCTTAGCTAGTGGTTAATCAGTCCGAAACTGCAAGCCAAGCTCAAACTACTCCGGTCGCAATCTGCAAATCCGCATCGACGCCCTAAGCGAATTCCCACGCAGAGTTCCTCTGCCAGGCTACCTTATGCGGGCATCGGATGAGAAGGCAACACCTGAGCAGGAGCCGAGCTGAGCAGCGTATGCAGTTGTAATTCATAATCTTATACGTGATATATATATATATATACATATATATATATATATATACGCATGTATTATATGTTCCATGTTCTACATTGTGTATACTTCCTTGGAGGGTTTCCGAATCAGACAAGGCCTTGTAGTCACCGTAGCTTAAGCCTTCCTTCGAGTACCTATCGTCTCCATTGTAGTTCCTTTTGGGGATACCTTATAAAAATCCTCAATATATAATTGGTTAAACCAAAGAAGAGACTATAGGTATTTTGTAGCCCGACTGAACGTCTTCCCCAGCCGCTCCCCAAGCGTCCAAGTCTTTCACAAGAAGGCTCGACCGCTAAAGCCCTAAAAGGCTGATAGGGTTTAGGGTGTAGGGTTTTCGGGTTTTGGGTTTATGGTTTAGGGTTTAGGGCTCAGGCTGTGAGAGGCGAATCAGTCAGTCACCTGAGCACTTGCCTCCCGCCCAGGAGGCTGCTTTCGCAAAGCTTCCCGCTGCATGGACCTTGGGGGAAATCTCCGGTTCAACTATATATTCTATATTATATACTAAGCATCCATACTGAATATGATAACAAGCTCGCCAGAGCATGTTCGCAGTCGCTTGCTCGCCTTTCATTTCTCACCCGTTTTGCTCGGCCCTGTCTTAACTTCAGCTGTCCGGCGATGACCCTCCCGCCACGCCAGGACCGAATCATAAATGCGAGACAGAACCCGGAGCCACAGAGCTTACTGTATCCTTGCACCACTACAGAAGCCGATGCACATGCCAACATGTCGCGAACATGCCAATATTTCCCAATAGGGTTCCTTAAACCCTATTCAAATTAGTAAGGCCCCTGTAATTCATCAATTGCCAGAAGTCTCCGAAGCCCCTTAAGGCTGAGATGAAGATGCTGAACCTGGCTCACGTGCCCCGGCAGCGACTGCCAGAAATTGCTTTACCAGGAGTGCGAGGGCTAGCTGAGAATTAGTAACCCTTGTAGAAGCCATATGGGTGGTCGTCAAGATTATCGTCCCTTTTTGGGGTCCTTATTATAATACGGCACCTATTATTTAGGGTGCCCCAAAAGGGACCCTAATTTTGACAACCACCCATGTAGACTCCTAGCTTAACTTTGTGGCTCTGCTGTCGCCGAGACCTGGCTCTCCCTCTTGCTCCCGCACTGCCTGGCGAAGATCGATCGGGTGTCTTTCGGAGTGATGACCAGCGAGGACGGGCTTCGGAACTGTGGGAAGGATCCGTGGGCGCAAGGTTATAGCAGCATTGTAGCAGCGGGTCTAGTACCATCAGACTGTAGCCGTGCAGTCATAGTGATATTATCCAGCGTCTGGTCTACTGGTTGCTGTGCATACAGGACCTTGCAACTGGCGCATCAGTGGTTGGTGTCTGTGCTGGTGCTGCTGTTGATTATGATGACGTTGATGATGATGATGATGAGGAGGAGCAGGAGGAGGAGCACGCAGCAGCTGAAGAAAACCATGATGCCACTTCGAAGTCGTTATCATCTTCATCATATTGGTGATCCTGACCATCATCATCATCATCACCATCACCATTATCGTGGTCATTATGACATTATGACGAAGACAAGAGGTGTTTGGGGATGGGGTGGTGAGGTTGGTCGTGATGGTGGCGATGATGATGAAGAAGAAGACGATGATGAAGGCAATGGTGTCCGTGATGATGGTGAAGTTTAGGTTTCAATCACCAGGTGGGCTCGGTTCAATGCCGGCTCCTTCAGCACCAGCAGCCTGGAAAGTTGGCACTTCAGAATATGAAAAGGAAGCTATAGTTGTGTCATGAGTAATTCACACAGGATCTCGAGAGGGC